GTTCTGCAGTTACCTTTTCACTTTCTTTGGTCTGTCAAACCGAAAGTCAGCAGGATAAAGGTGAACAGTGACCAGATGATCCTTTCTGTCCTTGCTGCTCTTGAACTTCTCCACACAGCCTTCTACCAAACACCTGTACTGAAAAGCAGGAGGGGAAAAAAAAAAAAGATACTTGGAACAGGCAAGTGGTGTAAGTGGTGTCAGCTGGGGACACAGAACACACAGTCTCTAAGGATGCCAGCCCATGCTGTGCACACCAGCCACAAGCAAAGGACTGGGCACAGCAACTCACCATGTTTTGCTTCTCGGCCATTATCTGGAAGAGCGAGTCGTGCCACTCCAGGATGTGAATATCCAAGAGATGCCCTGATGGAAAGGAGCGCTTGCAGAAGGAGCAGACGTTCCTGTGCAGAGTATTGTAGTGGTGCTCATAGCTGTCCAGTGTATCAAAGACCTGGCAGCACCCAGAAATGTGGCAAGTGAATTCAGACACCCTGCGGGAAAATTAGCACATCCACGCCTTAAATTAAATTAGAGCCTTAATTTAAGCTGCATCTATCCCTCTAGATGACTTTACTTATGTGTGGCGTTTTTTGTGCATAACACTGAAGTGCAATGGAATGAAGACTACGATGGTGCTGGCAGTTGGAAACTCTTATTTGCTGTTATGGCTTGAGCACTGTATATATTATCATCCTCTGAAGTGGTGCTTTGATTGAGAATAAATACCAAGCAGCAATGTGAGAAATAAACTGTTTGACCTTAAAGTTCCAGCTGTAGATTAAAACTTTGTGCCAACGCTGTTTAACAGGCATCTCTAGGACAAACTCCCACAATCCTCAAAGTACTTTCTCAGTTTTATATACAAGAACAGGTTTAAAACCTAGATGAATATTCTCCCCCAGGCTTAGCCTTCCTAACCAGGGCTCTGTACCGCACAGCTCTCCCACAGTTTTGACTGGGTAAATGATACACTGCACTTAAATCCTCTTGTTTAGCTACAATCCCAATTTTCAGACATATTACAGATGCCTTCTTAGGTTATGGAGAACTCTCAGTGAAATGACTTCACATTCATCAAGCACAAGAAATCAGACAACATAGCCAGTTACAGCACAAAATACCAATTTCTGACCTTTTCAACAGGATGTTGAGGTTTGCAAACCACTGCACCTCATTCTTCCTTTCAAACTCCTTTGCAATGTGTCCTTATCTTCTCCCTTTTGATCTATTTCTCCTCCTTGGCCTCTAAAGTCCACAGACAAGAGGAACTGCACTCACCCCAGCCTTCCACCTGTACACCAGAAGCGGGCAGAGTTCAAACTACCAACACCATACACCGACGTGACACAGACCGAGACACATGAACCCAGAGACACATCTGTGGTAGGCCCTGCCTCACTTACTTGGGTCTCTCTGCCACCTCCGCCAGGCTGGTGAGGACACCCTGGAGGTAGAGGTGCCTGTGAACGTCCCCATCCTAAGAGAGGAGGAGAGAGAGGCTGTGGGCAGGCAGCCCTGCCTCCACACAGCAAACCCAGCTTCTCCACGGAGCCAGGGCCGCGCTGGGAGAGCCCCGGGGGAGTCTCTGAGGGAGCAGGGCTGTTGTTTTCCACACAGACCAGGCCCGCAGACCCGAGGGGCTGGCCCGGCGGCGGGAG